AGGTCAATGATCACATGGAGGTCACACATCCCAACAACCAGGTTCATGATCACATGGAGGTCACACATCCCAACAACCAGGTCAATGATCACATGGAGGTCACACATCCCAACAACCAGGTTCATGATCACATGGAGGTCACACATCCCAACAACCAGGTCAATGATCACATGGAGGTCACACATCCCAACAACCAGGTTCATGATCACATGGAGGTCACACATCCCAACAACCAGGTTCATGATCACATGGAGGTCACACATCCCAACAACCAGGTCAATGATCACATGGAGGTCACACATCCCAACAACCAGGTCAATGATCACATGGAGGTCACACATCCCAACAACCAGGTCAATGATCACATGGAGGTCACACATCCCAACAACCAGGTCAATGATCACATGGAGGTCACACATCCCAACAACCAGGTCAATGATCACATGGAGGTCACACATCCCAACAACCAGGTTCATGATCACATGGAGGTCACACATCTTGATGACCATACCATATAATCACCTCTAGATGGCATATGTCCTGGCAATTGAACTAAGTGCATAAAGCATAATTTTAACATTTTTTTGTTAAAAATTTTAACAATTGTAGGAGACACTGTGGCTTACCGTGACGGGAGATATCATATAATTGGCCGTACATCGGTGGATATCATTAAAAGTGGTGGTTACAAGATTAGTGCTCTGGAGATTGAACGCCATCTACTGGCCAACCAGAAGATTAAAGAATGTGTCGTTTTTGGCATACCTGATCCAACATGGGGAGAAAACATAGTGGCACTGGTGGTTTTAAATGATGGGTACAACTTGACTTTATTGGAGTTAAAACAATGGGCTGCCGATATTCTACCATCATACAAGTTGCCATCTGTTTTGAAATGTGTGGAGAATATTCCCAAGAATCCCATGGGTAAAGTGAATAAGAAGCAACTAAAAAGAGATATGTTTTCTGATAAATTAAATGTTGGTCTTTAATGATGCTTAACTGTATTGATGTGTACATAGATTCCAATATAGCAATAATCAATATCGCAATGATCAATATGTTTGCAGGTATAACGTATCGCATCACATTTTTTTCACATAAATTACAATATCCTTGATATCTTATATCATGATTGCATACCCCTACCTTATAAATCTTTGATATCATATATCACCATCCATGGATATCCTAGTTGCATATCCCTATCTTATAAATCTTTGATATCATATATCACCATCCGTAGATATCCTAGTTGCATATCCCTATCTTATAAATCTTTGATATCATATATCACCATCCGTAGATATCCTAGTTGCATATCCCTATCTTATAAATCTTTGATATCATATATCACCATCCGTAGATATCCTAGTTGCATACCTCTATCTTATAAATTTTTGATATCATATATCACCATCCATGGATATCCTAGTTGCATACCCCTATCTTATAAATCTTTGATATCATATCACCATCCGTAGATATCCTAGTTGCATACCCCTATCTTATAAATCTTTGATATCATATATCACCATCCGTAGATATCCTAGTTGCATATCCCTATCTTATAAATCTTTGATATCATATATCACCATCCGTAGATATCCTAGTTGCATATCCCTATCTTATAAATCTTTGATATCATATATCACCATCCGTAGATATCATAGTTGCATATCCCCTAGGATAGTTTGTCACTCAACAATCCAATCACAAAATCAATGACAAAGATTTACAAACAAGTTGTCTTTTTTTAATTGCATTTGAGAGTACTTTAAGTTATTGATGTAATAACATGATGTAGTCATAAAATTAAGCAATTATTAATAAAACGATAATTGAGTTCACATCTGCACAAAGATATTTGCAAATAGGTGTTACCTGTCAAATATAGCAATACAGAAAAAGTCCAATGTGTGTTGTAGCGCCCTCTAGTGGCACAATTGGAAGTTACTATTGTTGGTCATGAAAGGTACAATATAATTGTAGATACTGCGCTGTCAGCTATTGTTTTTGAGTATTAAAGCTTGGTGCATTACAAATTTTAACTAATTGGTAAGAAGTTATCAACTTGTTAATTGGTGCCCATGATATCCATAACTAATTTACTTATCCGCCTTTCATGTAATCACAGAGGGGAATGTAAAATACCATTTTGTTTTTGGCAAACACCTTAGTTAAAGGGACAGTCTCTGAATTGCCATGTCATAATCACACATCTTGGATTAAATTTGATCTTTGCCTCTAAAATAAATAGTTTTATAACAATATATTGACATAAATCTAAACATAACTTATAACTGTATCGTTGGCAAAAGTATAAACATAACCAATGACTCATGGACAGAAGACTAAACACGATCAATGAAATTGACAGAAGGCTAAGGTTATTTTTGTATTATTTATTGCCAATACGTTGCAGACCATGTCCCTTTAAATACCAACCTGGCTAGATGAGTTACACAAGCAGATCACATGGAGATACTAATATCAAAAAATAAATCAAAGTTATATTGTATTATGTAGTGAAGACTAGGAATAGAATACAAGTGTCAGTAATTACAAATAAAAATAAATATCAGAATTATCCATGCATAGTGGATGCAAACTGCTGGGCGAAGATAATGAAAGGCAGTGAGTAGAGAAAACAAAACTACATAATATTGGTTGTACACATATTGGCATATTTAAGTGTATGTATACATGCACTTCAATTATACAAAAAAAACACACACTACAATTATGATCATAATACAATGGTTAGTTAAGCACACTTATTGCATATTTAATTTCAAAGACGGACCAAAAAAACTGTTTTGTTTCATCAGAACATTTTCCACTAAACAGTAGAAACCGCTCAGTTGGAAGCATGAATAGACCATAAAATTGCATTTACTGTATACTTATTTTAACCATATACACACCTCTGTCTACTATTAAACAGATCAAATACTACTTTAAGGTCTCATTAATTTTCCTGATAATATCATACTCATTTTAACAATGTGATGATTTCTGAGTAGAATTCTTATTCATAAAATTGCAGTTTTTATAATAGCAATTGTGCTTCATCACAGTCAAATAAGTCACACCAGACACTAGAAAATTGGTCATTCATAAATTTTCTGTAAGACTGAACTAAAATAATGGAATGAAATAAAATGATAATCAGTTCTGTTGCAATCCCTCAATCTACATTTAGTGAAACTATCAACTCATGATAAAAATTTTTTTTTTTGAAACAAGAATTATAAATCTCTTGAATAAACTAAGTGTTATTTCAAAACTGTTAAATATATATTTTAAATAAAATAATCTTTGTTTTTATAATCAATCAATCAGTTGTCAATAATGCTACTACTAACCTGTCCTCCCCATAATAAAAATGTTATAAACTTAGAAATAAGCTAAAAATAACAAAATATTGGGCAATTCCATTGTGGAATGGTGGGAGGAAGGTTGGTTTAAGAAAAAAAAAACATGGTTTATAATATATTAAAGCTCTTTGGGGACAACAAATGATTAGATCATGATTTAAAATTTTAATAAATTGGTATATTTGTAAAAGGTATTTACAAGTGCACTTCGGTTGAAGAGTTTTTCTGACTTTTTCTTAATTAAGATTAGTATTTATATCTTGTTCATAGTGTTAGTTTATTGGAATCGTTGGTCATATTTCACTTTAGTTTTGAAAAAAGTTTGCAGAAAATTTTTAATTTTTTTTCAACTTTGCAGCAATTTCATTTACATTTTTGTTTAAAAAAATGAAGGAAAATCTCCCAGGGTATCTTTTTCTTCTTTATGCAAATAGCCCCATCCTGGTAACCTTGGCTGACAGGAAGGTGTGCATAACGAACACCACTGGTTTGGGACATGTGTGAAGATCCAATTCCTACAGAAATAGATGAAGAGAAATTACAGAATGCAAGGATGTAATCTTAAAAACATCATCTAAATAATATCATGAGACATGTTCTTAACATATAAATCCATGTTCTACGATGTGTTCGATATGTGTCAAAAATATGGCCTATCTAGATAAAATTCAAAGCACTACGACAGAGCTGCTTTCTCAAAGGGAACCATTTGTACATGAAACTGTGTTTTGAACAAGTATAACAAGGGGGGGGGGGGCACAAGTAAACCACGGCTCTGTAATCCCCAAATCATTGGTGTATTGCGATAGTGTAGTTTGCATACTGAAATTTGGTCAATATCTTTTCTTTTTACAGGTCATCTATACATATAGATAAATCATAAACAAGTTTGATAGTCATTGATCGAGTTCTCTATGGGCCAGCAAACCATCATGAATTAATTTACCCACTGTCTTTCTTCCTTCCTAAGCTACAGCGGCATATACGTGTATATTAAATATTTTGATAGTCTAAGATATTATAACCTGATAATGGGTTTTGGATGGGATGTTCACTTAAATAATGGGTTTGACTGCATCTTTGTCCTGGTATCACACAACAATAGCCAGTGTAGAGTCCTTTATTCCCTAAATACAAATTCTGTCTTGAAACTTTAATATTTATGTTTGGAAATCTTAAATGTACATTAATGCACCAAAATAATCCTGTCATCTTTTCAGTTGTATTTTTTTCTTGTACAAATGTGTATTGAGGAGAACAACCAATCAGAAACCAGTTGATGGATATTGATATTTCACTTACAAATTCACCCTCTCCAGCACCAAAATCTAGCCACAGTATTCTGGCTCCATCATCTGAGGAGAATCTCAGTTTTTCATAAGAGAAATTCCATAAAACTGACGACCTGCCTGCTTCTTGGGCCTCTGGTCTGGCATCGGTTAAAGTGAAACCGCTATCGTAGTGTAAAGTTAGACGTGCTTCTTTGCCTTGGAAAGTAACAGCTACGAGAGTTGAAGAAGAAAATATTTGGTTAGGATTATTTACATGACATAATGCATATTATATTTATTGTATATTAGATCATTAAAGTATGACTTAGTTTGACCACCATAGACACACCACTGTCATGCATGCAAGTACATGTACTACTAATAGAGCATATTCAGTATTTGGACAGCACATACACATATCAATTCTCAAGCAATGAATCTGAATATGAAACCACAAATATCCACTTTTATAGATTGTATTTATGAATTATTGACAGTTAATCTGTTGAGTATCAAAATACAAAACGTATCGTAACCAACAAAATACACAAATTGATTTAAAAAAAAAATATTTAATGTAAACTCAATTTTTACAAATTGATAAATAAGGTGGAAGTCACTGTGTACCCTCAGAAATGTTTTCCTTGATTAGATATAGACAAAGGTGTGATCACTGTTTTTATACGACTTCAGCAACAACTGAAACACATTAAACAAAAGTTTTCACATAGTGGTCAATAGAGGGTGCAGACTATAAACTTCTCTCTATCTTACCACAGTTAATTTCTTTTATGATACTGGCAGCATTGTGAGCTCCTTGAACAAGAACTCTAGACCAAGCAGCTAAGTCACGCTGCGTATCCACTCGAAACAAATGAGCTTCTATACCATTTCGAGTTCCAGTTCGTGTGCCGAAAGTCAACTCAGCCATTTTATGATTGGATACTTTGGTTGGTCCTCCAGAATGAACTAATCTGCAAATAGTTAATAATAATAAAATGGCAGCAAGTCTGTTGTTGCAAGCACCATTCAATCAACATATGAAAAACTTTTAAAAAGACACTATCATTACTTGTATTTTCATTTTGGAAAAATTACATCAGACTAGCTTTCACCAGCATTGTCATAGACGATGGTTATGCCTTTACAAATGTTGTATTGTGTTTAAGGTGTTTCAAAAGAAAGTGATATTAGTGAACTACATACCAGGTGAGAATGACCTAATGGGGTAAAGTGAAATCATTGAACTACATACCAGGTGAGGATGACCTAATGGGGGAAAGTAAAATCATTGAACTACATACCAGGTGAGGATGACCTAATGGGGGAAAGTGAAATCATTGAACTACATACCGGGTGAGGATGACCTAATGGGGGAAAGTGAAATCATTGAACTACACACCAGGTGAGGATGACCTAATGGGGTAAAGTGAAATCACTGAACTACATACCAGGTGAGGATGACCTAATGGGGAAAATGAAATCATTGAACTACACACCAGGTGAGGATGACCTAATGGGGTAAAGTGAAATCATTGAACTACATACCAGGTGAGGATGACCTAATGGGGGAAAGTAAAATCATTGAACTACACACTAGGTGAGAATGACCTAATGGGGGAAAGTGAAATCATTGAACTACATACCAGGTGAGGATGACCTAATGGGGAAAAGTGAAATCATTGAACTACACACCAGGTGAGAATGACCTAATGGGGGTAAAGTGAAATCACTGAACTACACACCAGGTGAGAATGACCTAATGGGGGAAAGTGAAATCATTGAACTACATACCAGGTGAGGATGAACTAATGGGGGAAAGTGAAATCATTGAACTACACACCAGGTGAGAATGACCTAATGGGGGAAAGTAAAATCATTGAACTACACACCAAGTGAGAATGACCTAATGGGGGTAAAGTGAAATCACTGAACTACACACCAGGTGAGGATGACCTAATGAGGGAAAGTAAAATCATTGAACTACACACCAAGTGAGAATGACCTAATGGGGGTAAAGTGAAATCACTGAACTACACACCAGGTGAGGATGACCTAATGGGGGAAAAGTGAAATCATTGAACTACACACCAGGTGAGAATGACCTAATGGGGGAAAGTAAAATCATTGAACTACACACCAAGTGAGAATGACCTAATGGGGTAAAGTGAAATCACTGAACTACACACCAGGTGAGGATGACCTAATGGGGGAAAGTGAAATCATTGAACTACACACCAGGTGAGGATGAACTAATGGGGGAAAGTGAAATCATTGAACTACACACCAGGTGAGAATGACCTAATGGGGGTAAAGTGAAATCATTGAACTACATACCAGGTGAGGATGACCTAATGGGGGAAAAGTGAAATCATTGAACTACACACCAGGTGAGGATGACCTAATGGGGGAAAAGTGAAATCATTGAACTACACACCAGGTGAGAATGACCTAATAGGGGAAAGTGAAATCATTGAACTACACACCAGGTGAGGATGACCTAATGGGGGAAAGTAAAATCATTGAACTACACACCAGGTGAGGATGACCTATGATTGTTTTTGAATAGAATGTGCATATTTTAGCAGGAAACAACTTTTCTTGAATGTATGAATACACCAAGTTGAAAGGTACAAGGTAGTGGTGGATGATCACATCAGGTGTGTGACAACACGCTCACTTAATGCAACCATTATACAAGTGTGTTCATTGACTCGTACATAGAGTATAGAGAGGCTGACAGCGAAAATTAAGTGTACATTTGTTTCTTTGTCAACCGTGTCACTGTGTCATCATTTCATTTCAGAATCATCATAAGTTGGAATGAGATAATCTTAAAGTTGCATGTCCAGATCCGCATTACTGATATCACATTGATTTCAACCAAAAACTATTCAGGTCATCTATGTACCACGTTTCATCAAAATCTGTTGAATGGTACTTTATGTGCTAAAATGTGATACCGTAAAAACTCGATTAATTCGCGGTCTCTATTAGTTCGCGCACCCATTTTATTTTCGAACGCTAATTTTTAAATGTACCCTTTTAATTCGGGGCGTTCAAAAACGTGTTTAAAATTGTATCCTATTAATTCGCGGGCCAGAATAAAGTGGATAACTCAGAATATATTGCATGAAGACATTAAAAATATACATATAATTTTATGTTATCAGTACTTGGTGTCGCCGCAATCGCAGATGATCTCTGTCATCACAGCCTTTCAGTTAGCAAGCAGTTTAGGTTCGGTAAAGATTTGACGTGAAAACAATCAACAAATTAGATAATTTCAATGCATGAATATTAATTCAATAATTGTCAAGTCTGTGCATTGTCCTATCACATCTATGTACAGAGTTTCATTGTAATGAGATGATTAGTACTTGAGATATCAGTAGAAAAGTTGAAAATGACAAATCATTATACAAATTAGGTAATTAATATGCATGGCATTTCTACCAAAACTAATCAGGTCTGTGCACTGTCCCAGAGCATTTTATGCACAGAGTTTAATTAAAATCCAATTAGTGGTTCTTTAGATATCAGTGGAACACTTATGAATAAGCTGGAAATTAGGTAATTAATATGCATGGATTTTAACCAAAACCTAATCAAATATGCACATTAGCCCAGAGCATATACAATGTATGCACCAAGTTTCATCATATGAACATATGATTCTTTAGATATCAGTGGAACAGTCGGACACATACATACACATATACACCCATACATACAGACATCCTAACTGCAAAGACTCCCATTGTGTGCTTCATTGTGTCATTTTGTCTATCACTGTTAACAGGAAACTTGATTCCAAGATGTTGCAGTTAGTAACCATGGCAATCTCCATGCTGTTTAACTAGTACTTAAGTGCATGGCAATATATAGAGATGTTAAATATTACATCTTTTAATAATTTTCTGAGTAGGCTATACCATAACTGTGTCAAATTACACAATAAATATAATACAATACAGTATTTGACTAATATGCCTTGTAACCTATGATAAAACAAACTTTCATATATGTAGTTAAATATACTCTCATTTTTGTGAAAATTAAAATATAGAAGACTCAACTCAGAGTTGTCAACATGTAATGTACATAATTATATGCCATGCACACATACATATTGTTATCAGTCTTACATGCAAACCACATAGGTAAGAAACT